GGTACAGCGCTGTGCCAGCTCCTGATGGGGATTTGCAGTGTGCCTGGACAGCGCTTTTAGTGTTGCAGAAAGGGAAAAATACAGATTAAAGACAATGCACAAGAGTTACTGTTACTCTTCAAAATCCAAGCGCTTAACAAATCACACTCTGTATTTGTCACTGGAACTATTTTAGCTACCCCAGAGGGCAGGTACTGTCTGCATCTTTGCTGACCAAAAGAAAGGGTCAACATTTAGCACGTCCTTAAGTGTTGGTCCTGCCTAGGAGAGGGGACAGGCCAACATGGTATTTCCAACGTGGCAYTTCATATATCCCTTCCATCCAGCAGCTTCCCCCTTCCCATGGAGCAGTTACCATGCCAGTTCCACACAAGCCCCAGAAAAATTAGACCAGAGACTTGAACTGGGCCTCCACTCACAGATGAGACAGTGCCAGGAGAGACAGCAGATTTTTAGGAAGCCGAGATATTGAATCAAGATAAGAGCCTACAACAGCATAAAACTAGAATGGAGTTCCACTGAAGAACAGAAGCAGTAGTAATATATACGTTTATATGTGAGACAGTTGAGGGACAGAAAGGCTTTGGCAGTTACTTGAGGAGGAAGTTTAAAAAGTCTCATGCAAAAAAAGTTTTAATCTTTTCTTCATTCTGCACTGCAGTTTTTTTTTGCTAATCAGAGAAGACCCAAAAGTCCAGCTCTAGCCTGACAGTCTAACAGGGACCTAGATTTCTTTGCAGCGCAAATCTACAACTTGCATCAGTCAACATGATCTGGAGATGATACAGCAAAAACTTCTTTGTTCTAATATAATATGACTTTGCCCTTCAACATGTGCCTTTTTATCCCCCTTTTCATTCAGAATATTATTGGGCAACATCCTCTCCAAGTCACCTCGCCACTCACAACTGCTTCTCCATCACCCTGAGCACAGGACAACGACCTTGATTTAAGCCTCATCTGACAGTTTCCTCGCAGGTTTCCAGTAAATAACCCCTATCTAATTGTTAAATTCCTTTAGAAGGTGACTGAGAATTCTGCTTTGTGTATATACAAATATAATGACTATATGCATAAAGGTACACACACAAAGAGTGATTTCTAAGCCTGCAAAGGGGCTAGATCAACTTGAGAAGCCCCACAATGGCAGAAAAAGTGACAGCCACCAAAGAGAAAGGAGAAACTGGCAGCACTCACCAACCCCAAGATCAGGGAGACACCTAAACCACTGCTGTATCCCAAACTCCCTTTGGAACAGTGATCCCTGGTCTGCTTGGGGACTGTCAGACCAAAGGATGCGTTTTAATTTGCTTGATATGGACAGGAAATTAATATATAATTCATTCAGACAGCTGAGTGATCCATATAAAAAGTAGCACCACTTATTTGAGAGCCACGTTGACGATACAGGTTGAGTCATTTGATGTAGCCAATCTTAGTTCCAAGGGAAACATGCAATGCTAGTTCGCACRGCAGTCTGCTCCATAAAATACAGGCACATCGAGGTTACCATTTTATTGTTATCCAGACTGAGGGGGGAATTATTTTCATCTTTTTTGAAGTCAAGGGGCATTTGTAACTTGTAACACAGCTAAAAGCTATTTTTAATCCGTTATAATTTCCACTCTAAAACATATTTATATGGTTTCCATGGGRATGGGAAGCTGGGAAGGTAAGACTATTTAATGGAAGTGACTAACTTCACCACTATATTTTTGAGTCACTGCCAAGGAAGTTGGTCTCACTGCGCCAAAAAGTACTCAAATACTCCACACTGTTGCATCAGACTGATTCCAATAACATACAGCACTGCACGTTTTACAGAAGACCTAACTTCTCCAATGTCTCCTTCTGGGAACTTCTACTGGTTTTCTAAAGGTTTTTCTAAGGCAGAGCAGAAGGTAAAGCATCCAAATCTACACTGACTTTTAACCCCGTATCATTTACATCCACCTAAGTTGCTAACAATGTTAATAGTGCTGGCTTAGATGCATCCAAAACACATACAGGAAGCAGTACAAAAGATCTAAGTCTCAGATCTTGTCGAGCTTCTTGTATATTTGCTGATGAAACACTATTATGACAGAAATTAGGGGGACATTTACTTAGGGACTTGCATTACTGCAGGTCAGTATGTTTTGTGCAGAGTATATGATCCCAGATATTTAATAATGCAAGTATTAAAGGAATAAAATAAAATATAAATGAGTAGCAAAACTACAAATAAAGGYGATACTTTAAAAATTGCTCTACTTCCCTTTGGGGTTCTCGGTAGTTATATCATAAAGAGCAAGAGGAAAGAAAAAAAAGAGAGAAAAATGTTATCTTGCACTGAGAACCCTATGACAGCCCAAAACCATAGAATCATAGATCTACTCTACAGAAGCTTCATAATTACAGCACAGACATTTTACACCTSTGCTTCCACTGTTAGCAGTAAGGCTCAATTCTACTGCATAAGAGACAAATAGTTTAAGGAGTTCTCATGTAAATAAAAGTCACAAGAACTAGTTAGGTCTCGTTAGGAATCCCAGCCATTTGTCACAGGTGTGGTGCGTAGTGACAAAGGACGGAGGCAGGAGGAAGACCTGATTTATACCTACTGCACAAATCAGCCTGTTTTTCTCCACCTGGAAAGCCTTAACGTACTTCCTTTTATCCTCAGCAAAGGGAACTGCAGGCCACGTCATGGTATAGACTTAGCTTATACTTGTCTCTTTTGGTCACGCTCAAGTCTCACATAGGATCTTCAGATTACAGCTACGCTATGCAGGAGCTTCTGCACAATCTGTGCTTCTCCAAGCCCCAGGTTTCGGTGCTTCATGGAGATTGCTCACCCTTGCCAAATCCACCTGCCTTTAAATCCTCAGCAACACAGGAAAACACCAGAGACCACAGGTGGAAAAAGCCACATCCCTAGACACTATCGTGTTGGAGAGCTGGTGCCCACATCACCCTGCAGATCCTTGCTGGGAGGTGGAAGAGGAGTAAGGTCGGGTCCCCGTTTCTGCTGTCACCACCACCATCGTGGTGGTGACACAGTCACACACAGAGACAGGAGAAGAGCATCCATTGCTCTTCTCTTGCTGTGCCTGTTAACAGTAAATGAGCAGATACAACGTACCTGCTCTAAAAATCCTCCATCCCCTCCAAGCAACTGCAAATGCTTTTTTTTTTTTTTTTAATAAAACTTGAGAGCTAGAACAGAGCACGTTGTCTTCTTCAGTAATGAAAAGAAACACAGAAAACTGTGACAATAATGCCAGGTGGTGAGGTGTGAGCACAAAGGCTGGGATGCAGGATACAGAGCATTTAAATGCTTATCTAAACGTTTAAATCAATGCTTAAACCCATGGTTTCGAGCTATTAGACACAGGAACAGAAGCCATACTCCTATGTTCAGGAAACAAGCTCCGACTACGAGCACTTCAGAAGAAGCTGACACCTCCAGGCAAAACTGCTGAGAGGACACGAGAGTGTCCAACATAAGTAGCCTATGCAGGTCCTCCCAGGCACGTTCCCCAGCAGACTTTGGCTTTACGCAAAGCAAGGTCATTGGCTCTCCTCCCTTCCCTCAGCCCCTGCCAGCCTGGGCGAAGCGGAGAGGATTTGCTGGTACCTTCCTGTGYTCTCGTTCCTGATCCACTCGCTCGGAAAAAGCAGGTGTCCTTGGCACCCCTCCTATAACTAAAAGCAATTAAAAGGTGCAAGTCACAGGCCCAGGCTGCACAGCACAGAGCACACCAGCAGCTTCTCTAGCCATAAGGATGACATTTGTTTTCCACAACAGTTTAAGCACTTAAATTTTACTTCACTGCCCCTCCTCCAAGTGTTCTAGACCAAAGCACAAGCCTAATTAACTCATGCTCTTAAATCAGCACATTTTGTTGCACMGAGCAACACTGCTTTCAACTGTAGCAGACCCTCACGAGTTGACACATCACACACTTCAACCACAGGGCTGACAACACCTTAAGGAGACACGAGTATCCACCCAAACTCCAAGCTTCATGCAGCTCTATGCTAAACCTCCTCTCTGGCCAAYACGTGGACATATGGCCTCTTCAAAACAGGGATCCACTTCCAGAAAAGTGGAATGCTGACTCCCATTGCTTTCAGCAGGAGTTGTAGGAAAAAAGCATTTGCATTTAGAGATAACCCCCAAAACCGTTAACAGAGCACTTTATTTTCTTATTTAAAGTCCACACAACAACTTACTGTTATTATGTATACACAGAATAAGGGCCTTTACTGTTGTGTTAGCCAAGTGGAGATCAGATACCAGAGCAGATTTGTCTAATGTCAGTGTAAAGGGATTGAGTAAAGATTTCAGTYTTTTCCTATGACAAAAGAATTTGTCCAAATTCAGTCCTCTGTAATTGGACTGAAGTCAGGCTGTTTTGGTTCAAGCTGTGAAAAAAAGGGAAATATTTTTCCCTCTCATGTTTCAAACTGTATTCAGATTCACATAACTTGGTTATTACACCCAACTGCTTAGGAAACTGTTCTTTTACTGTAATGACATTATCAAGATAACACGTGACTTCAAAAAGAGCATCAGTAAATTCTTAGGAGCATCTTCCCAGATCCTGCAGCACTCCGGCCACTTCACACATGGGGGAAGCCAGAGGCATGGGAAGGGATCTGCCCAACTTTCCCGGGCAAGTCATACCTCTACATCTAGGTGCTGTATATAAGGACAGGTAACACCAGGAAACACATATGTACCGTGCCAAGAGGAAGCTCCTCACTGCAAAATTGTTTATGAGGGAAACACTCTGTGTGTCTGGAAAGAATCCATCTTTTTGGCTGTACTCCTGAAGCACCATTTTAAGAGTTAAACATCTGCCAAGAAACTAGTGCAGGGGGCCAGACTCCTCTTGTACCACCAGACACTGAAACGCGACCTGCAAATACAGCTCAGCATCCCAAATTCAGCCAGTTTTGTGGTCAGTAAAACTCCGGCTTGTGACGGAAGCCCAAAAGTTGGGCGTTCCTACCTTGCTGGACATCTTGGTAAAATCCATCGACAGTAACGGCCGCTCAGAACAGACACCCAGCAACACAAGGCGGGGACTCCAAATGCTTCGCGCCTCAGAGGATTCCTGGTGGGCCTGTCGACAAGTTCTTTATCCGAAAAGGTAGAAAATCCAGCTTCTGTGAAGAAAAAAAAAAAGGAGGGGGGAAGAAAATACAATTAGAGGAAGCAAATGGAGAGCACCCCAGCASAGCAGCCTCACGGCCACTCTTGCCTTTAGGGCTCCACCTTGACATGGGGGGTCCGCCCCAAGGAGCAGGCTGGAATGGTGGCCACCCCACGGGCAGCGCCGGGCCGGGCACCCCTGGTATCCCGGGTATCCGCATCCCTC